CCGCCCCCCCCTCCGTCCTGGGGAGGATGCGGCCGGGTGCTCCGGGGCGGGACGGGCGGCGGCGAGGCCGGAAGATGGCCTGGGTGCTCAAGATGGACGAGGTGATCGAGTCCGGGCTGGTGCACGACTTCGACGCCAGCCTGACGGGCATCGGGCAGGAGCTGGGTGCCGGCGCCTACAGCATGAGTGATGTCTTGGCATTGCCCATTTTCAAGCAGGAAGATTCTAGCCTTGCATTGGATGATGAAACTAAAAACCCGCCCTTTCAGTATGTGGCCCCGGGCCTGCCTGGCTTGGGGTCCGGGCCTGCCGCGTGGCCGCCGGGGCCAGGCAGCCTCGCAGACCTCTGCCCACCCCGGTGGCGGGCTTGGGAGGGCGGCCCTACCACCTGCGGTCCCGGAACCGCTGGGGGTTTCATTTTTGCTGTAAAGCACGGCCGGCTGTTAACGATGGCCTGGGTTGGTGGGGAAGGGGTTTCATTTCCTTGCAAGCGATTTACGAGCCACTCAGAGCTGGAATATAGCACGAAATGATAGGGCTTTCTGTTGGGGAAGTCCTCTGCAAAGTTTTGGTGTCAGCTCCTATCCGCTCTGTTCTACATTGTAGTCTTTCCGAGTTGCAGATTGTAGTCACGTGATTCAATGTGACAATAGCCACAGGGGAGAAAAGCACGTCCAACGACGTAGTTACGGTTCTTGGATGGCCTCGGAATGAACTTTTTCGCTTTGTCACCCTGGGTCGTAGGCAGTCTCCGTTTGAAGACGACTTGAAGGCACCGTGAACGCGCCACAAACAGTAGTTTGTTTAGTCTTCTCCGTCTGTGTGGGCAGCCATTCATTTTCGTTTAAATTGGAGGCGTGGAAACCTTAGTCTCTGGCCTGTATCCCGAGGGATGCTGTTCTTTTAACGCCTGTCAGCTTGGCAGCTCCGTGTGTCTTAGCTTGTTTGGAGTTCAGTTTACGTGCTATATAAAGTCGCCCCATTGGCAGTAGGAAACTCGATGGGTTGGGCAGCTTTTTGTGAACGCGAATCCAGGTGAGGTATTCCAGGTCTGCTCCTTCAAGTCATGCGCTGCAGTGCTGCTGTCCCGATGCCCAGGAGCCTCCGCACATGTCACTGCTGCCCTCGGGAAGGACACCTGTCCTGAAGCAGGAAGGCTTCCGGGTCAGAGTGGGCCTGGGTTGGCGGGGGCTGCTCCCTGCAGCCATTCGGCTTTTAAGTCTTATAAATAGATAACTCTCAGAAGGGTAGGGGTGTTGGAGGAAGTGCTGGGAGGAAAGCCCTGGTTCACCAGTCTCCGACCCTGATTGTGTCTGTGCTGGTCTCTCTGAACTTGGCACTTCTCTCTGCAGTTGTGCAACTGGATGAGGTGGCTTGTTTTCTGGAGCAACTGTTTTCGTTGTGGAGGAAATTGAGCTCCTGAAAGTCAGAGGGTCACCCCAGCTGGTCACCCCAGCTGGGAGTGCTAGGGGTGAGAGTGCCTGGGGGGAAGGTGGCCTCCGGGCCATGCTTTTCCTGGAGGAGTAGGAGGGCAGGTGGGGCAAATGGAGTGTGTCTTCAGTTGCTTCTCAGTGATCAGTTGTGATGAAATGAAAGTTTGCTGCCGAGAGCATTGTTTATTGAGTTATGTTGAGCTTTTATTCCCCCCCCCCCAAGAGTTGTTTGTTTTAGTGATTTGACCAGCTAATGAACTTTTATTTTTAGTTTATTTTGTGTAAAGGAAATAAAATCTTGATATTAAATCTTTCCTTGAGCCTTTGTTTTTTAAAGTAATGTGTGATATCTTTGTAAATCTGTGTTTTTTACAACACTTCTCATGGGGAAACTTTTCCCCTTGAATGCTTTTCGTTATTGGTGATATGGTATGTGTCATTTAATCTAAAATTTTCAAGTATCTTTGAAGGCAAATACCATTTTGGTTTTTTGGTGTGTTTTTTTCATGTATTTTGGGTATCCGTTTACTCCTGAACATTTGCTCCTCAAAAACTAAGAGGAATCCATCAAAGTCCTTGCCTCTTGCAAATTCAAGACCCTTTATTTGAGATTCAAATTTAGGAAATTGCAAAATTGACTTGACCTGGAGAAAGACTGAAGGCTTTAAGCCAGTGGTACTCAACCTTGGCTGCACATTAGAATCACCTGGAAATCTTTTTTAAAATCCTGATTTCTGGACCTCATCCTCCGGAAATTCTGTTTTTTTGTTTCTAAAATTGTGGCCCCACCCCATAACAAAGAAACAGAATTTCTGGAGGATGAGGCCTAGAAATCAGGATTTTAAAAAGATTCCCAGGTGATTCTAATGTGCAGCCAAGGTTGAGAACCACTGCTGTAAGCTGTGCTGCCTTTGTTTGCATTGCATTCCCCACCTGGACCTGAAGCTCTCCGAGGGCCAGATGGTCTCAGCAGTGCCCAGTGTCCTTTCACTGCATGGCAGTCTCTTCCTCTGGTATCAAATGGGAATTAAGGGCTACTGATGCTTGTCTTTCTTTCATTTGTTCTCTCAAGTTCAAGAAGTAAATTCGTGGCTAAACTTAAAATTATTTGAAAAGTGACTTTTTTTCTTGATTTCAGAGAGGAAGGGGAGGGAGAGAGAACCCCCCCCCCTCAAAAATAAAAGAAATAATGCAACTTCTTTAGATTACACATAAAAACTTTGATATTAAATTATCACCTTACAAAGGACATTAGTCTGGGCCCTGTTAAACTTCCCTGTACGATAAGTCTTATTTTGAAGCAGAAGTTACACATTGAAGATTTTGTGGGAGGTGCACTCATAGTTTACAAATTATTTGCTAACTCAAAACTGCTGTGAGGTGAAGACAAATTTTCTATATTGATTGACAGGTTAAAATGCCAGTGTACAGACTTTGTGAGGTAATGGGAAAATTTCAACTTGGTAAGTTTTAAGTTAGTAAAAGATTACTAAGGATATGGTTTATTATGTAGCTATTAATAGCAGATGTTTTTCTTTTGGTCTCATGCTAAAACAAAGGGTTCTTGAGTGGGTGACATGTCTTGGAAGTACAGAAAAATTTTAGGATCAGTGAAATGTTAAAAATTTATTATAGTGGTTCCAGAATTGGCAATAATTCCTATAAAACTTCTCATTTCAAAGTTTAAAAACTTTTTCTGGCTTTAATCTTGGCTGAATTATAAGAAAGAGTTTAATAAGTTATTGATTAAAACAATATTGATTTCAGATCATATTGTTCACATTGGTTTTTAAATGTATTACCTTAAAACAGGGATTGGCAAAAAAAAAAAAAAAAAAAAGCCAGATAAATTTTAAGGCTTTGCCGGTCAGAGCATCTCTATAATGCTTTTTTGTTTGTTTACAACCATTTTTAAAAATGTGAAAGCCATTCTTAGATCATGGTTGTACAAAAACAAGCTGGCTGGATTTGGCCCTTGGGATGTAACTAGTCAATTCCTGCTCCAAAGGATAGAGGAATAATAGGCTTTGATTGCCTTGGGAAAGATTTGCTGCATGTTGAAATCTTATATTCAAGAAATAACTTCTATGTAGACTAATAACTCTCAACTAATTAGCATACATTCTACTATTTGTCCATAGATTTTGTGTTCAGTTTTAAAAATTAGAGTGTCCCCTCTCTCCACTAAAAACAAGATTCAATGCTGTTTATATTCTTTATTCAGAGCTGTTCGAACCATGACAGCTTATTGATAGGGTCTCATAAATTTGATGTTTTAAGGTGACACCTGTCAATTTGCCAGGACATACTTAAACATTTGCTATTGGTGGAAATACCATATGATGCCTCATCTTTGTTTGCTTTAGGTTCTGTGACTGAATTTAGAAGGAGCTCTGTAATAATTATTTTGCTTGCTTTGGTACATAACTAATAGATGGATATGAAACCGATCTGTGTTGAACCTTGGTGTGGCAGTCTCTTTTAAAACTTGCTGAGTTTTTTGGAGTTTGTGAAATTGTTATCTTGAGATATGGACTACAACAGAAATACATAGTTTTTCTTTATTTATGTGTTGGTGGTTGAATTTTTAAGTTAATTTTTTAAATTCTTAAATGATATTAGATTTACAAGTTACAGAGATAGTCTAGTAAGTTGACTTGAACCGCTTACCCAGTTTCTCCTACTTCCATAACTAGAGTACAATTTTTTTAATCCTCACCTGGGGATATGTTTTTATTAATCTGAAGAGAGAGGGGAGCGCCGAGGGAGGAGACATTGATGTGAGAGAGAAACATCAATCAGTTGCCTTCCTTACCACGTAGACTTACAGGGGATCAAACCCAAAACCTTTTTGTATATGAGACAATGTTCCAACCACCCCACCAGGGCCAGAGTACAATTTTAAAAGATGCTATGGGCCGAAACCGGTTTGGCTCAGTGGATACAGCGTCAGCCTGGGGACTGAAAGGTCCCAGGTTCGATTCCGGTCAAGGGCATGTACCTGGGTTGCGGGCACATCCCCAGTGGGAGATGTGCAGGAGGCAGCTGATTGATGTTTCTCTCTCATCGATGTTTCCGACTCTCTATCTCTCTCCCTTCCTCTCTGTAAAAATCAATAAAATATATTTTTTAAAAAAGATGCCATGGTGCAGTGCTGTTATATAAAGTACAACATTTATTTGGTTCACAGTTTTTCCTCTGTTGTCCTTTTTGTGATCCGGGTTTCAGTCTCAGACATCATTGCGCTTAGTGTTTGTCTCCTTCTCTTTTATGACTTTGACAATCTTGATATGTAATGGTCAAAGCTGTTGTTTTTAAACATGAAAGATAAAATTTTGGAAGCTATGATAGAATATACCTGTGAATACTATTTTGAGTTCAAAGGATCTCTTGTCATTTTAGCAGAATGACTTTGAGTGGGATCATTCCTTGGTGTCATTTTCACTCATTTATGGATTACTTTGTCTCAATCTCAAATTACTTTGTCTCTGAATAGAATTTTATGCTGTGTTTTTTGTAGTCCCTTCATAATCAAGAAATTTAAAAATTTACTTAAAATAACAAAGGCCTTTATATATTCCTGGGAAGTGGGAAGTAGCCATCTCCTAATAATCGCAAGGCCCCTTTTCCTACTTTCCTTATCTTCTCTTTATCTCCCTCTCCCTCTCAATGTTTTCTATTTAAAATATTATCCTCCTAAATAAAACATTAGTGAAAAAGAGTGGCATTGTCTTATGCTTTTGGCACATCTTTTTAATATCTCACTTAGAAAACAAATCAATTCTCTTATCTGCTTTTGGAATATATTGTTTTGGTTGATATACATGAACAAAGTCTGGCTTCAGATACATATGTGGTTGGAAAAAGGAAGATTATTTTAAATAGCCCTTTTAAATAATTTTGGACATTCTTTGATATTATACCAGCACTTGACAAGTGGTGGTTTCTTAAAATTGCAACTTAGAATTGGCAACTGTGTCAATGTGGTTTTTTTGTCTTGTTAAATTAGAATCGATTGGTCTGTCTTGGACTTAATCAGCTCTCTTGCCCTGAATAATTTTGAAATGTGCATGCATTGTTCATTTGAAAAAACAGTGGTTTTTCCTGAGTTGTTCAGATCTAAATGTTGGTGCTTTTCACTATGCAGTATCAAAAAATCTCATTCCTTAACATGGCCACTATCTTATCAGAGACAGCACACAGTGGAGGGTTCAGATTTTTTCATTGGCAGCAAATATCACAGTTGTAAACGATGGGTTCGCTTACTCATTTTTGAGGAAATTTTTGTCAAATGCTCAGGTCTGAATATTCAGTTTGTCAGTTTTTCTTTCAAGTTAAAAATAATATTCTGTGAGAGAAACTGCTAGGTCAGATCCCAGTTGCATAGAATCTTTTCCTTGAGACAACCATTGCACTTAGGTGTGCCTAGAAATACATTATACCTACCCAAGGACTAATATATAATAAAGTTAATTTTAAACAATGACTGTTAGTACAGTTGGTGCCACTGCCTTGATTCATGCCAAGGCACCAGCAGTTTTAATCACCATTGGTTTTGTGCCATGAGTACAAATGTCAACAAAGTGAAAAAAGCCAATAGTGTATTCTGAAAATTGGTTTGACCTCTTGGACCCCCTGAAGGAGTCTCGGGTTCCCCAGGATTACGCAGACCACACTTTGAGAACTTTTGATCTAATGTGCGCCTAGAGTTAGGATAGTTAAAATATTTTCTTCTGAATTAAAAACAAACCCATTATTAGAGCTCAGAGAAGTTAAATAGCCTGCCATAGTGTCACTCAACAAATGGCAGAGCTGGATTTGAAGCTCCAGAGCTGGGGTTTGACCTCCCTCTTTCTGCAACACCCTTTGCTACCTACCAATTAATAATTAAGAAGTCTTCTCAAGGTAGTGAGAATAGGAAGTTCTGGATAGGAAGAATCACTTGGGAATGCTATATACAGTATATATTTTTAAAAACATTTTTCTTGTGTCTTGCCTTTTCCCCCCCAGGACCTTGCTGAACTTATTCTAGATAATATCTTCTTTTTTTAACATTATTATTATTATTATTATCATCATCATCATTGATTTCAGAGAGGAAGGGAGAAGGGGAGAGAGAGACAGAAACATCAATGATGAGAGTGAATCATTGATCGGTTGCCTTCTGCACACCCCACACTGTGGATCGAGCTTGCAACCCGGGCATGTGCCCAGACCAGGAGTCAAACTGTGACCTCCTGGTTCTTAGGTCAATACTCAACCACTGAGCCACGCGGGCCAGGCTTATGTCATATTTTGATGGCATGTATTTAATGATTAACCCACGCAGTTAGCATTGGGATCTTAAAATTATGCATTTCCTATGTCACTTTTCAGTGACATAATTAACTAATACTTCTGAGTCATAGCTTTCATTTTTATTTATTTTCTCGCCAAGGATTTTAAATGCTTACATATATATGACATAGGAATATACATATTTTCATCTACTGTAGAGCCATTGTGGCTATGGTTGTCTTTCATAAAGACAACTGCTCTGAGTCTTCATAAATTTCATTTTTTGTATCTGTTCCACTTGAGTGGAACTAAGTCCCTACCTAGATCACAGTGTTGAGAACTCCAGAGAAGGGCTGGAGGAGATCTCTGACTGCGTTCCTCAGTTATACTGTATGCAGAAGAGTGTTTTCATAATTCTTAGGTATAAATAAAAGAGAAGTAGAATTAGTGGTAATTTAGTTTCTGAATAATTAGTCTAGTGATTTAATAGAAATGTAGCCGAGAAAGAGGGATTGCAGATTTTTCCTCCCATTTTATTTCCACATTTTGTTTGTAAATTGAATTTACTTAAAATGGGCCAAATACCTGAGTTAGTGAGCAGCTTGCAGAAAACAGAAAGGTAAATAAGCAATTCAGACAAGCCTTTATATTGGTGTTATAGTAGTTATTCATTTGACTATTTTATTATTTTACTTTTTATTGAAAAATGAATTTAGAAAAATTATCAAGATGTAATGTACATCTTAGTGAATTATGTCAATTCATACACTAATGGTAGGAATGTGAAATGGTGCAGCCACTTTGGAAAACACTCTGGCACTTGCTCAAAAAGTTAAACATAGTTATCATATGACCCAGTAATTCTACTCCTAGATAGACGCAGATATAGATATCCAAGGGGATTAAACATACGTCTACACAGAAACATGTACAAGTGTTTGCAGTAGCATTATGAATAATACCCAAATATTGGAAACAACCCCTATGTCCATCATCTGATGAATGGATAAATAGAAGGGTATATCCATACAATGGAATATCATTCAGCCATAAAAAGGAATGAAGTAATGATACAGCTGTAACATGGGTGGACCTTGAAAACAGACTTAAGAAAAAGGCCACATGATTCTGTTTGATTAAATGTCCAGTATGGGCAAATCCATAGAGACAGAGTAGATCAGTGGTTGCCAGGGGTTAAGAGTACGGTAGGGGAAAAGGGGCAAGGGATGACTGCCAGTGTGTATGAGATTTCTTTTTGAGATGATGAAAATGTTCTGGAAGTAGTGATGATGACTGCACAACTCTGAATACACTAAAACCCACTGAATTATATACTTTAAAAGCATGAATTTTATGATATGTATATTATATCTCAGCTGTTTTTTTAAATTATTAAAAGCAAGCCAAACATCCACATATGTTTAATCTCCCAGATTAACGGAATATGGACCGTGCCTCAGAAGACACCCCCACCCTCTCCCATTTGCCTCCCAATTAATGCGCCAAGTTATTCTTGGGAGAAAAAATAGTTGTTTTTACTGCTACTGTTTGCTTCTCAGAAGATGCCATTGTTTTAGACTAAGCACAAAGCTTTATGCTGTCAGCACTTGCCAAGCCTTGCAGGAAACTTTTTGTAAAGTACCATTTTAATCAAATGATTCTTTGTGATTTCATGGTGCTAATGTGACCTACCTTCGGCAGCAATAGTGCCTGCCTTTCGAAACAGGCAACACTCTGTTGACTTGCTCTTTTGTTAGCTTGGTCTATCAGTAGCATGGACTTTACTAACTATTAAATACTTCTTATTTAAGCTACCTAATCATAGCTGCTTCCCCTCTCCCCACAACTACACTAGAGGTAACAGGTTTAATATTTTCATTTGGGGGAGCCAGATTAGCATTGATCTTTTATTCTCTGTATCATTTCTAAACTTAAATTTTAAAAGAAACTACCCTTCAATGTTTTTACATGCTTTTGTATATTTTAAACCCAAAATAAGGTCAATGTTGATTTTTTTGCTTTTCAGTGATGTCTTGGCATTGCCCATTTTCAAGCAGGAAGATTCTAGCCTTCCATTGGATGATGAAACTAAAAACCCGCCCTTTCAGTATGTGATGTGTGCCGCAACATCTCCAGCAGTAAAACTGCATGATGAAACGCTCACTTACCTGAACCAAGGTTAGTATGGCTGGGTCACATTTTGATGTTAGAATTTATAAGAATCCTAAATGAAAGTTTTGACTGCCTAGATTACTGGAAGTCATTTTGAGTTAGATTTCTTTTTCCCTTAAGTTATATAACATTAGTTCACAAAAAATTGTAGGAAACGTGTTGTGAGCCAACAAACTTATAGTTTGTGGAGACTTATTTGCATAATGAGAGTCTGTGGAACAAGATTTATTATATGGTTTTTCAGATAAAATCCAAAGGAGGAGCAAGTAGGAAAGGATGTCAGTTATTTTCAGTAACAGTGGTTTCAATGTGGAACTTGAGAGTGAATCAGAAGTCCAGCTAGCAAGGAACCTAGGTCTCTGACATGAAGCATGTACATGCTGAAAATAGACATAAGCTGTGTCAAGATGAAGTCTATGGCTAAAATAAATTATAGTCAAATTTTGTCTACACATACCTTGTTTATGCTTTATGAGACTATTATATTTTGGTGATAGAAAAGCAAGAGTGGGGAGAATGGAGAATAGAGATGTGGCAGGACAGAATTTACCTTGGGGAAGTATGAGGGATTTTTTTCAGGTGCTCTTAGCAGTTTGGGCACAGGCCAGTGTGACCTCCCAGTGTAAACAAACATACTCTGTTATGCAGGAATTAATTTGTTGGATACATAAAGTGAAAGAATGTGCAATTCTTTTTTCTTTATGCGAATATTTTGTTATGAAATAGTACATACTCACTGTAGATAAATTGGGAAATATGTCAAGGGATAAAGCTGAAGATTGACTGCAGTTGCATCCCACCAAGATAACTAATTAACATTTAGGTATATTTCCTTGTATGTACATATATATTGTTTTGTGTGGTTTATTTTAATCGAATTTTTAGAAAAAGAGGAAGAGAGAGGAATAGTAAAGATAGAAACATCAATGATGAGAGAGGAGCATCATTGATTGGCTGCCTCTTGCATGCCCCTTACTGGGAATGGAGCCCACAACCTGGGCATGTGCCCTGACCGGGAATTGAACCGGTTACCTCTTGGTTCCTGGGTCAATGCTTAACCATTGAGCCACACCGTCCAGGGTACATCTATTTTTTTTAATGGAATTAACATCTATTCACTTAAGAGTATATTGTAATTATTTTTTATATATATATTTTTATTGATTTAAGAGAGGAAGAGAGAGATAGAAACATCAATGATGAGAGGGAATCATTGATTGGCTGCCTTCTGCACATTGGACCAAGCCCGCAACTCAGGCATGTGCCCTTGACCAGAATCGAACCTGGACCCTTGAGTCCACAGGCCGATGCTCTATCCAGTGAGCCAAACCGGCTAGGGCTATATTGTAATTATTGACCTGTCGTTAAGTAGAATCTTTATTCCTTAAACTGTTGGAACGAGCTACACATTTTAGACTCTTGTGATAACATTCAGAAATATGAAAGAATAGCTTATTTTTAACTTTTCATATATAGGTTTAGGATCCCTGAGGTTTTATTTCAGGTAATTCTATCTGTAGCACCTATAGCCGTACTCTAATTTTGTTATTAATATTGTTTTAGTATAATGTTGAATTAGTGTTTGGGTAAGCATTCAGTTATTTGAGACTTGAGTGTCATATTTGAAAGAACTGTAATAGTTTATATGGTAATCTGTTTTGAACATAAACCTCTCAGGAGAAATAATGTAGGGGCAAGGATATTCACTGTAGCTTTATTTGTAATGATAAAAAAAAGAAAATAACTTGAATTTTCTTACGTGGAGAATGATTCAATAAGTTCTGTTACATGCATACCTTGGGATGAATGAGTACACACACACACACACACACATTTTAAAGGCATGTGTTGGATCTGTCTGTTCATGGGCCTGGGGAAAATATTGATAATTTATCACTATTATTGCTAAGCCAGAAAAAGATAGTTCATATTGACAAAAGTTGCAGTCCACCATCTATAGTGATGATTTGTTAGACTGACATTTACTAAGTGCTTACAGTGTATGAAGCGTTGTACTAAATACTTTACATGTGTTATCTTCCACAGTAACCCAGGAACATTTTTATTAATTTAGTTTATAGATTTAAAAACTGAAGCTTAAAGCAGTTGATCAGCTTGCTCAACATCAATTTGGTCAACCTTAGATTTTTAAAAAATTACTAAAGTTTGTATACAATAGTGTGCACAGGTCTTAAGAGTATACACCATTTTAGTGACATTATTTTGAGAGCCAAATTTTTTAAACTTAAACTATATAGGTAGGTACATTGTTATTAACTTAATTAGGGTACTCCTGAGGCTTAGGAAGAGCCACACTCAAGGGGCCAAAGAGCCGCACGTGGCTTGAGAGCTGTAGTTTGCCGACCACAGAGATAGGACATTTGAAGTTGTCATTCATCAGCCTGAGTTTCATCCCTCTTAAGCTTCCATATGTGAGTTTATGCATTTATTCTAATGAGAAGGAAATAAAGCAGTCACTTTTTTCCTACTAAAATCAAGTGCTGTATAACCATATTTTAGTGATGTCATAGCTTTCATGATGTTGTAGTGCACTGGATTACTCACATGTTTGTGGTGATGCTAGTGTAAACACACCTGTGCTGCCAGTGCTATAAAAGTATAGTACATACAATTATGTACAGTACATGATAATAAATGTCTTACTAGTTTATGTAGTTTTTATCATTATTTTAGAGTGTACTCTTTCTGCTTATTAAAAAAAAGTTTCCGTAAAACAGTGCATTGTGTTACCCTGGCCGCAGCCTCGTGCATCTTGTGTTTACTGTGTCTCCTAACTAACAACATCATTTTCTCTTGTGTTTGATTTAATCTTATGTTGTTATGTTCATTATGGCCCCTGTGTACAAGACCCACTGCTAATGTTGCCAGTAAGAGGCCACATCAAGTGATTGGTATGGAAAGGAAAATAAAATTAAGGATTATAAAGGTGGAAAATCAGTTACAGTTATTGCTCATTAGTCGGGCATGTCTCATTTCACCATAGCTACCATCTTCAAAAACAAAACCAAAGTGACAGAAGCTATTAAAGGATCTGCTTTATTGAAGGCACTGAGACTAACAAAAATTCCAGAAGGGTCTATATCAGACATGGAGAAACTTGTAATGACCTGGATTGAAGACTGAAAACAGAAGCGTATCCCTTCAGCACCAGGACAATCATAGCCAAAGCAAAAGTTTATTTGTAATGTTGAAAGAAAAAGTGAACTTGACTAGGATGTTTAATTTACTGCTTGCTCTAGGTCAGTGATGGCAAAACTTTTGAGCTCGGTGTGTCAGCATTTTGAAAAACCCTAGCTTAACTCTGGTGCCATGTCACATAAAGAAATTTTTTTATATTTGCAACCATAGTAAAACAAAGACATATTTTTGAATTTATTTTATATATTTAAACTAGAGGCCCAATGCACGAAATTCGTGCAAGGAGCTTGGCCCTCGCAGCCACGGAGGCTAGCCTTGGCCCTCGTAGCCCTGGCTTCATCCGGAAGGTCGTTTGGCTGTCCAGTCTAATTAGCATATTAGGCTTTTATTATTATAGATGCCACTTAACAAAGAAAAATCAACCAAAATGAGTTCGCGTGTCACCTGTGACATGCGTGTCATAGGTTCGCTATCACTGTTCTAGGTGGTTTACATGATATAAAAGTCATTATAGCCCTAGCTGGTTTGGCTCAGTGGATAGAGCTTTGGCCTGCAGACTCAAGGGTCCCGGGTTCGGTTCTGGTCAGGGGCGTGTACCTTGGTTGCGGGCTTGATCCCCAGTGTGAGGTGTGCAGGAGGCGGCTGATCGATGTTTCTTTCTCATCGATGTTTCTAACTCTCTATCCCTCTCTCCCTTCCTCTCTGTAAAAAATCAATAAAATATATTTTTTAAAAAGTCATTATATATTACACTAGGGTCCCAGTGCATGAATTCGTGCACCTTGAAAGGAACTGTGGGCCACGAGGCTGCGGTGGGCACAGGGGTGGGTCTTGGCCCATCCTCTGCGGCCCCCATTCCCCTGTCAGCCGGCAACCCCGCTCCCGCGACTACTGCTTCCACACTCTGACAGCGCATAAATTGGGGCCGGCACCAGCAGTGGGTGTGAGTGGGACCGGCACTATCAGCGGATGCAAGTGGCAGCAGCTGCCTCTATCGCCCCTCAGGAGCAGGAAGAGGTGGAGAAGCCCTAAGGGGCGATTGGGGCTGGTGCCGGGTGTCGGCAGCAGGTGCCGGGCTCAGCCCTCGCAGCCCTGGCTTCGTCCAGGACACCTGGAAGGTCATTCAACTGTCCGGTCTAATTATATTACGCTTTTATTATTATAGATGTGAAAGTGAGTGTTGAGTCTGCAAGTGCTGATGAGAAGGTAGCTGAAAATTTTTTGGAAATTCTAGATAAAGCTGGTTGTGGAGGAAAATTACTTGCTAGAGCAAATAGTCACTTTGGATAAAACCTTCACACTCTGAAAACGGATGCCTGAAAGAACTTTCATCCATAAGGAAGCCAAATCATTGCCAGGCTTTAGGGATAAGTCTGTTTTAGGGGCAAGGTTGCAGGCTACAAACTCACACCCTTCGTGATCTGGCACAGTGAGAGCCCCAGCATCCTGGGGCTTGTCAGTAAGCACACACTTGACTGTATTGCAGGAGCAATAGAAGTCGTGGATGACCCACCTCCTCTTCTAAGATGCTGGCCTGCATTGCTAAGCCAGCAAAATGGGGTAGTACTATTTGGAAAATAACATACCTTTCAAGATTTTACTTGTTGTTGATAATACTCTAGGCATCCTCCTTTTGGTGATCTTCATCCCAATATCAAAGTCTTATTTCCTTCCAAATACTACTTTTTTGTTCTAAACAAAGAAGGAAGGAGTTATGGCACCTTTAAGACCTACTACCTGCGGAGGATCTTTTTCTAGGCTATTGCTACAATTGATGCAGTTCTGGAGGATTGCAATATCTATGACTGCAGCAAGAACCTTGCTTGGGGTGGGTGATGTTACAAGGAGATATGAATGGCACCTGGAAGAAGAAAATAAGTTTTTTCATTACTTTAAAGGATTTGCCAAAGACGAGGTTGCAGAGATCAACAAGGCTGTGGTTGAGATGGCAAACAACTTTAACTTGGGTGTGGATGAGGATGACATTGAGGAGCTCTTAGAGGTGATTCCTGAGAAATTGATTAATGAGTTGCTGGAACTGGAACAGGAATGCATAGCTGAAGAAGAGGCAAGAGAAGGAAACTGCAGGAAAAGAACTCCCATGAAAATGGCACAGTGAAGGGTTTAGCAGAAGCTTTTGCAGACCTCAACAAGTTCCTTTAAAAGTTTGAAAACATGGACCCCAACAGTGAAGGGCTTTCATTAATGGAGAGGAATATTCATGGTGCACTATCTGCGTACAAACAGATCTCTGGTGAAAAAAGAAACGAGCAAAGCACATGGATATATTTCTGTGAAGAGTGACACCTCAAGAAGAGCCTCAGGCAGGTCTTTCAGGGGGTGTTCCAGAAGTATGTTGTCATAAGAGAGGACAGCTCCACGTGTGTTATTGCCCCTGAAGGCCTGTTCCAGTGAGACAAAATGTGGTGGTGGAAGACAGTAATACTGATGGTCCTGACACTATGTTTTGTTTTTTTATCAACAAATTTAGCTTAGTCTAGATTTTATTTACTAAAGATTAAACTTAGACCAGATGAACTTAAAAAACATTTGAACGCTCAGTTCTTATAAGTGCTTGCCTTTAAATTAATTTTAACAATACCATCTGGAAATAGAAATTTTACAGAACACACATGCACAGAGTCTTTAGCCATAGGAAAAACTCACTGGTTGATAAAAGAACAATTGGATCCAATTGTTTTGTCAGAGAGGAAGGGAGAGGGGCAGAGAGAGGAAGGGAGAGAGAGAGAGAGAGAGAGAGAGAAACATCAATGATGAGAGAGAAGCATTGATTGGCTGCTCCTGCATACCCCTACTGGGGATCAAGCCCACAACCTGGGCACGTGCCCTTGACCGGAATCGAACCCAGGACCTTGTAGTCTGCAGGCCAACGCTCTATCCACTGAACCAAATTGACTAAGGCTATATATATATTTGAAAAGCTGTTATAAAAAGTTAATCTCAGGTAATGGATATATGTATAATGTAAATTTAATGTAAGAGTAATAGAGAAAAATGAAAATACATTGACAAATTCTTTTTAGTCTTACATAATACTGTAAGAAGGAAAGGATAGTATGGGTTGCAGGGAAAAGGTAATAAACCTGAATTTGCTTTTTAAACAAATGAACATTGTGTAATTGTATATTTTGAAAGATAGTTAATATTTTATATTAAACACAGTAATGTTCGTTATGTGGATTGTTTTTGATGCACAATTTCTTTAAAAATAGGTCAGTCTTATGAAATTCGGATGCTGGATAATCGGAAAATGGGAGATATGCCTGAGATCACTGGAAAATTGGTAAAGGTAAGGTCGATCTTTTTACATTCCTAATAGATATTTCAGTGATTTTTAAAAAGCAGTTTTGCTGCAAGAGTTTTTACAAAAAATTTAACTTCATTATTTTAAAGCTTCTAAATTGTTGGTTGGTGTAATGTGAAAGCCCTTTGGAAATGTACCATATGAAATTTACCTGCAGCTATGTGTGCAAAGACCTACCACCACTACAAAAATTTTAAGTTCCTCTTTAAAGGTAAAAAATAACATGAGGGGCCCTAACCGGTTTGGCTCAGTGGATAGAGCGTCAGCCTGTGGACTCAAGGGTCCCAGGTTTGATTCTGGTCAAGGGCATGTACATTGGTTGCGGGCACATCCCCAGTAGGGACTGTGCAGCAGGCAGCTGATCGGTGTTTCTCTCTCATCGACATTTTTAAAGTACTTATTTCCTCCACTTATTCCATAGAGCATCATAAGAGTCGTATTCCATGATAGACGGCTTCAGTATACAGAGCATCAGCAACTCGAAGGTTGGAAGTGGAATCGCCCAGGAGATAGACTTCTTGATTTAGGTACAGTGACTGTCAGAAGACCTTGGAGAGAGAGATAAAAGCATTTGGTTACACCCATGTTGGCACCACATGTAATTGTGTGGAGTGTTTTGGTGTGAATGGGTTCTCTGTGCCTTGAGTTGTTTTATAGTTTAAAATGTTGACCCTTGAACAACGAACGCTGGGAGATAACGGGCTGACCCCCATGCAGTGAAAAATTTGCACATAACTAGACTCCCCCAAAATGGAATTATTAATAGCCTGCTGTTGATCGGAAGCTTTACAGATAATAGTCGATTAACACATATTTTGTATGTTATGTGTATTATATACTGAGATCTTAAGCTAGAGAAAAGAAAATCATAAGGAAGGAAAAATACACGTACAGTATTTATTGAAAAACTCTACACATAAGTGGACCTGTGCAGTTCCCACCCATGTTGTGTGAGGACCAGCTGTAGAGTTTTGATGAAACTGAAAGACCCTGAGCCAGTAATATTATGAGTTGGAAACCATTCATTTAATTCTCCTTTGGGTACTATCCATCATATTCTGATTAAAATGAAAAAGAAACCATGGTGGGAGAAAGTCTGATACTCATTAGGTGGGTTTTGATGTTGAAATGATTGACCACAGAGAACATGGAAGAACAAAGTGCAGCATAGAGGTATAACATTTTCACTAAAACATAATTAGAGTAAGCTGTGAGCTTTTAAATTATTCTTAGTAGTGAGTTTATATGTAAATTCTTTTTAAAATATAGATATTCCAATGTCTGTGGGAATAATTGACACAAGGACAAATCCCAGCCAGTTAAATGCGGTTGAATTTCTGTGGGACCCTGCAAAACGCACATCTGCTTTCATTCAGGTTTGGATTTTTTACTTTATTAGACATATACTAGCCTCGTCATTTTTAGAAGGTCATGGATGAGGTTGAATTCTCTTATTTTTTTTTTGAGGTTGAATTCTTGATGCATGATGTAAATGTCTTTAAAAGCTTATTTGTGAACTATCTGTCCGTGTCTTTTTAAAAATATTGGAGTTAATATACTAAATCCGTTATTATAGACTAACACATGTGAAGGCAAGCTGACGTGTGAAACATTATTTAAATGTTACTTTTACCACTGGTAGTAACAGTAATCAAAACTTCCATTTTTCATAAGATGCATTTCTCTGGAACCAAAGCTGCTATTTTAAAAGATGTGGCCGCCCTGACCGGTTTGGCTCAGTGGGTGGAGCATCGGCCTGCGGACTGAGGGGTCCCAGGTTCGATTCCGGTCAGGGACATGTACCTTGGTTGCGGGCACATTCCCAGTGGGGGGTGTGCAAGAGGCAGCTGATCAATGTTCC